CGTCTCACTGAGGCTGCCAAACAAATGGGTGTGATACTGCTGATGCTTGTTGAGGGACGTGTTGGGAGTGTGTTTGGGTGGAGCTTATATGAAGCTGTTGGCAGAGTCTGGAGATGCTGTTTTTATTGACTGTAGCTCCAGGCAGCAGAACTGCAGACAAATGTATAATTAAACAGCAGCAATCATGAAAGTGTTTCCTCTTCCCTTAAGGAGGATTTGTCTTTGTGTTCTCATTCTCCTCTGCTTCCCCTCCCTCTATTATCTCTCCCAGGTGTCTTCAGCTCCTTAAAAACTCACAGAAACTCTTATCTAAAATTATCTAATGTAAAACCAGGAAGTTGCATGTTCTGAATTTCAAATATAACACAATTGTGGTTCAACAGATGATTCATATTTTCTGAAAAAAGAGAAAATGCATGTCTAATTTTGAAAATAATAATATCGAGCTGAAGCATTTAGTGTTAGTGGATTAAATGTTGGTCGGTGGAAAATTAATTGGCAAAAACTTTCGAAATAAGCCAATAATTTTAGTCATTTATCAAGCAACAGTGTGGAAAGAGGATGCAGAGATTTGTGAGTTGGACCTTTAGCCTTAGAGCCTTGAGTTGGTCTTGAGTTCACCTTGGTGACAGGCCTTGTGTGTAGGCAACCACATGCACAACTAATCATGAGATCACGAGCTCAACTAAATCTGTGGGCACACTCACGATTCAGATCGTGATTGTGATTTAACTGAAAAAGATTGATCTATAATGTTTTGACACATGCCCCCCCTAGTATTTCCTAAATGGTGAATGCAATATGTTTTTTAAACCCCCTGTATTAAAGTGAGAGTCTACACTTCAATCAACATCACGATGGCTTTGTTTCAAAACCATTGTGGTGGTGGTGTGCAGAGACAAAAACAACAAAACCAACAAACACATATACACACATATGTACTGTATATATACTGTAATGGTGTTAAATGGGAACCTACTCTCAGACTTTTGGACCCATACACACACACACACATCATGCACGACCAGCACCACAACATTACCACCAGTTACCAGTTTTAATGTTGTGGCTGATCAGTGTATATACATACATACAGTGCACTCATACAGTGGAATATGTAAGTATATGTGTCCACCTATGGTTCCCATCCAACCTGACAGAGCTTGAGTGGATCTGTAGAGAAGAATGCAGAAAATCCCAAATCCAGATGTGCAAGCTTTTACCGTCACACCCAAAAAAGACTTGAGGCTGTAATAGTTGCCAGAGGTGCTTAAACTAAGTCCGGAGCCAAGGATGCAATAATGTCAGTGTCAATGTGATATTTCAGTTTTTCCTTTTTTTCCCTTTGTTTTCACTTTGTCTTTTTTTTTGTTTCAAACTTAGGGCTATTTATTTTCCTGCAGAATGTAAGAAGACAAAAACACGACTGAAACGTATTTTTTTTAGCCTAACAACATAACAACTTCTCCTCTGTAAGCAGAGATGACGTCTTGTCAACAAACACAAACACAGACCTCAGATCAGTGTTCAGAAGCCTGTTTTCGTCTGTTTCTCTTGTTATATAGATTCTCAGTGAGATGAGACCAGGAGTCACAACAGTCCCATATACCTGTGATGGTTACTCATATAGTTCAGAAGCACTGATCACAGCCAAGGCACATGGGAAATCTGCTGCTGCCAAGCTGCCCTGAGAGCAAGGCACAAACCCCCAGTTTCCTCGGTGTCTGTGCTCAATGACTGACAGTTGTTTATCCGGGCAGCACAGAGCTGTGGTGTTACTTGAAAGATTATGGGGATAACTTTATGAATAAAGGTTTGAAAGAAAATCTATTGAACATTCTGTTCGGTGTGTCTTTCTCCATCAGACGAGGGACGGACTTAGAGTGCTGGCAGTCTAACACAATCTCCTTGCATCCCAGTCACAGAGGACCACGGCTCTTCTAACAGGTAGGCCTCGTCACCACTGTTCCCACCTGTGTTTCACACATAGGCTGAACGAATTACAACCATGTTCAACTGAGTTTTAAACACACACCTGCTGTCTGCTGTTTTTGTCAGCAACAGGCATGAATCCACAATGATGATGGCAACACAGAACACATAACATAACAACACGGTCCATACACCACAACTTTAGCTCTGGTTAAGTGTCTTCCATGAGCTTTACTTCGACCTGGAATATTCATACATAAGGGACAACACTTGACACGTTTCATGATGAAATTGTTAGACGATGCTTGAACATTATTGTTAAGAATATCTGTTTCTGTCCTCTGGATGAAAACAGAATATATCCAGTATCAGCCAACGGCAAAGATCAAGTCTATTAATCAATGCAGCTAATGAAACTGAGACCTTCAGGCTCTTTTGCAGTGTGGAAATGTCTGCGTAAAATACATGGACCTCCTCCAATCCACCACTTCCTCACATGCACAGAGACAAACCACAAGACTGTGTGTGATTTTTTAAGCATGAATCCAAAATGATAAAACTACTTTTACATCCATCATCCACAGCAGCAATGTTGGCTCATATTATTAAGCTGCATACACATATTTATGCAAGATCATTTGGGTAACCATGGTAACACACGCATGCAACCCGCATATGCATAACTGCCGGGGATTTGCCCTGACAACATCAGAAAGTGAAAATGAGTCAAAACAGAGGGATGATGCTGAGGCGCCTGCACTCTGTGTGTGTTCTGGGAGTTTCTATTAAAAATGTAGCCACCAACAGTAACTACCCCCTCATAAGATCAAAAGACGCCTCGTACTTACTGTTTCTCCCGTTGTTTGCTGCCATGTAGACGAAGGAGATCCAGCTCGAAACAAGTCCGCCTCCCTCGATGCTCTTTGTGACGTCACAGAGCGGTTTTAGTCCAGTTTGCTGGCAGTCTGTGAATGAATGAGCTTATGTGAGCATATGTTTACATTTGTTTTAGTAATATGTTTGTGTGATAAGATAAAGAAACTAGATAGAAACTAAATGCAACAAAAGGTCTTTTTTTTTTTTCTTCCACTTGCACACAAGTGAGCTGAACTGCAGGTAGAAAGACACCTTTGTTCTCCAGAACATACAGCTGTTCCACTCCCATGGCTCTCTACAGTCCTTTTTATGTTTGAGTCAGGCTTATGAATTGTAAAGGTGTTTCATCCGCCTGAGGACATTTCTCAGTATAGAGATTGTGTAATTCTACAATGGAAGCTAGAATATAAAGAAAAGGAAATACACATTCTGTTTTATACACTGTGTTACCATAGCAGTCACTAGAACAACTCACTTCTTATCATTCCTGACATGTATGTTTTTATTAATTCATTCATTAATAGAAACTGGGGCAATAACATCAGGGTTGCACTGAATGGTGTTGAGGTTTAATCGAGTAGCATGTTGCTGTTATCAAAAAGTTATTATTGCTGGTGGATACCAATGGTGGAACCTGTGGATGGTTAATAATAATTTGTGTGTGTGTATGTGTGTGTGTGTGCGTGTGTGTGTGTGTGTGGTGTGTGTTGTGTGTGTGTGTGTGTGTGTGTGTGTGTGTGTGTGTGTGTGTGTGTGATGTTAATAGGAGTTTGATGCTTTGTTTCTTGGAGGCTTGTTTCGTTCTCGGCTCTCACAGAAAGCAGCGCCGGCGCACAAGAACCGGAAAACAAGAAAAACTGGGCTCGAGGCACCAGGGGGGGTCTGAGAGACTTTCTAGACTGAAGTGTTTTTTGTGTGTGTGTGTGTGTGTGTGTGTGTGTGTGTGTTGTGGTGCGTGTGGTGTGTGTATTTGTGTGCACTCTCGGCGTAACTGATTTGGGTATTTAAAAGGCAGCACCAGATTCTGTAGCTTTGGGGGAGATTCTTGGAAGAATTTGAACACCTCCACCACTTATCCCTCTCTAACCTTCTCCGCTCTGCCTCATCGCTCGCTCCCCGGAAAAATCCCTGAACATCACTGAAAATGTTGCAGAAATATTAACACGCTGTTCAAAAATACCCCATTCTTTAGACCCCTGGACAGCCACCAATTGAAATCTCTCCACTCATTGTGTTTGTCATTAGCATTTAGTGACGACTGTCCAGATGCTAGAAGTTGTTAGCGGTTAGCCGCGGCCTCCAGGGGGAGATCCAGAGCTGGAGGCTCTATAGGGGGTCTGAGAGGATTATGTGCTTGGCCAGGTGCTCTTTTGTGTGGGGAGACGAGGCAGCAGAGCAACCCTCAGATCCAGGCCACAGACACAGGACGAGCTGAAAGATAAGCGCAGCAGTTTATCTACTGAATTGTGGATTTAATGGAGCATATCTGCAACGTTTTACCTTTACTGAAATGACCTCCAGTATAAACTCATACCACACTTTTCAATAACAAATTTAGTTTATATTTTTTTTTTTTTTTTCTAGTATGAATGGAAATTAGACTTGGCCTTAAACAGTGAATCTAGACCACTGTATGCATAAATTAAGTTTATAAATCCTATCTCCAACAGTGCAATTAAGATTAGTGACTCAGGGTGACACACTTCACTCTTGCACTACTTGACTACATTATCCAGTTGTGCTGAATGATGAATTCTTTTCTATTGAAAAACCCCTAACAGCTACACTCTTAATGAGTTGTAGTCGTTGTCTGAGCAAGGTTTAAGGAGTGGTCTGGTCACTGTGCTCTCTGTACCGTTGTATGCACTTTTTAGAGCTGTTTTTTTCTGACTTAACTATTGGCAATTCCAATAGACACACACAGGCCAATTGGTATCTATGGTTTTTGTCTAAGGTAGGGGTCTCCAACAGGTGGCTCGTGGGCTCCCAGTAGCTCACACAAAGGTTCAGAGAATATAGTCTCTACAAACCATGCATGTAAAGTAACAAACTTTAAGCAACACAACTAGCAAATCTGCTCCAAATGCAACTAAATCAAATACAAAGACACAAACCCCCCCCTTCAACATCTTATCATTATTTGTCAGTTGTGCAGTCAAATGAGTTATTGTCAGGTTTTTCCATCAGATCGGCTGTAGGTGACATGCAGTGACAGCAACTCTTCGGATAACAGAAACAGAATATAAACTAACTAAACTTTTCCAAGCCCATGTTTGTTTACATTTTGGAAAATGAAGCGTAGTGAATGATCTATTTTAACTTCCTGTCTGTTATGAACCATTGATGTACTGACAACTATCACTGATCAACTGAGAAAGGGAAGCTTCCTCTTTCTCTGGTTTCTACTCAGATTTATTTACAGTGGTGTTTTCATGTCTGTGTTCAGGGCTGACTGAATCATGACTCAGATTTTTGTCTGATGTCAGTTTCACATGTTTTTGGATGTAGATATATGATGACTTGTTAAATGATTTTATTCATCTGATTTGGTTTGGAGATCACTTTGAGTGTTTTGATGATATGTGTATGAATGTAACCAGTAGGATATAAAGACTTCAGGAGCTCTAAGCCCCGTTTATTCTGTCAAAGTAGCTCTCAGAGTAAAAGGTTGGAGACCTTCGGAGGGGGTTGGGTGGTCTGACCCTCCTGATTAAGACTTGGACCCTTCCCGAAAGAGTTTAGGGTTACACAATAGTTCGGGGGGTTGAAACATTTACTTACCTGTAATTGTAAATATTACAATATATTTCCCATATTCATGCCTGGATCTTTGTAGAATCGTGTACCAAGATTTCAGACACACCCTAAAGTGGACGTACCATTTCTTAACCTTGACTTTAGCTGCACTATCTTGTCTGCCTACCTCACTCCCATTGTGGCTCATGTCCTGAAGTCTCTGCTCTCGTGCATGTTTGATACACTTTACTTTCTTACCTTCAAAGAGTCTGATTTAAATTGTGTCTATGGATGAATGCTAATGTTAGTTAGCTAGTTTCTTTAAGCTTTAAGTTACAGTTTAGCAAACCAATGTTATCTAGTTTCTAGCTTTTGCTTAAGTTACAGTTGATAAGCTGATAATATGCACTTTCATTTCCAATGTTGGCTTCACATTTCATTACCAATATAAGATGTCATATATGATGTAATGTTAACAAACAATGGTGCTAAGTCATGAGTGGTGAGAAAATGGAGGATTTGTTGCTGTAGAGATACAGTTTTGCCATCAGTATAGTTTATTATTTCATTTTAGAAACCATTTTGTGGCTGTGGTGGTAATTTATAATAGTCACCCCTTTCTTCTCTCTCAGGAATCCAGGAATTTAAGTATAATTTTGAGGTACTTAACTTGAGTATTTCCATTTAATGCTACTCTACACTTCCACTCCTACTTTTCAGAGGGAAAATTGTACTTTCGACTCCACTACATTTATTTGAGTATTTAAACTAAGCAAAATACTGTAAAGACTGTAACACTTCACTGAAGCACCTGTATTGGGTTCCCTTTCCCCCCCTGGAGAAAAAGTTGACCCCCTGATTGTCACTTTATAGTTTGCACTCTGCTCTAAAGCTGATATCAACCTTAACCATCTCTTGGACACTGGAGATCAATAGAGGTCAAAACATTATGTGTGTGCTTGTATCACTTGATATTAAATGAAACAGGTGCTGGCGTGTCTCCTCTCGCCTCATGCTGTTGACTGAGTTTGTCTCTCCTCCAATCCGATCTAGCTGTGTGTGCTTTTTTTCTTTCCTTCTGTTACTTTATCCATGTGTTTAGCACTTTTTCATGATTCCTGGAGCCAACAGTATATTTGCCTCTCTTTCTTTCTCTTCCTGACAGTCTGTCTGCACACACACACACACAGACACACACTCACACACAGTCTCCTGCGTGTCATGTTGTGACCAATGATAACCTACAGTCCCTCTAGAATGGCGATGTCCAAGGTAACAACAGTGTGGTCAGGGTCACACTGCCTCTTGTGTGATTGTTTGTGTGTGTGTGTGTGTATGTGTGTGTGTGTGTGTGTGTGTGTGTGAAGCCTAGCAAGAGGTGTGATTGCAAGACAGGTCTCAAA